ATATATATATACACGTGATACCTACATGTGAACATACCATCGCCGTAAGCACCCCCACCAATACGTTCGAGGAGTGTGAACGCAGTCCGGGGTAGCCACCCTTTGTTCTCCTGGCTCTGTTTAAACGCGCGGAGTGTCTCTGACGCATTTGTGTCATGTGCCTCAGTCCACATGTGCTGTTTTTTGAGCTTCTCAATGATCTTTGCTGTGTCTGGCTCGTGACTGAGAGAGAAGGAGCAGATGTATATAAAACTGTGTATGGTTGTAGGTATAAGACTATGGCCATGCAAGTATATGTTTGTGTTTGTGTGTGTCTGTGCAAGTATATGTTTGTTGTGTCTGTGTATGTTGGTGTAGCTCTGCTTTTACTCGGGGTAGTACATGTATATATATATGAGCGTATATGAGGTACATACAAAGACGTAGCAACATTTGTATTACTTAGGCCTGAACTTTGCTATCACAATATATACATATATATAGGCCACCGTTCTATATCTAATATATATACGTTGCCGTTCTATAAATAGACCACCGTTCTATTTATAGACCAATTTTTAGGTTTTATACTGTTTCTCCAAGAAAACCAGGACGATCACCGGCACAAGATGCAGGAATACACGCACACCTGCCACAATGGCTATGACCACTCCCAGCGACACCTTTATACTATCACCAGCACTCTAAACAAGGCTCCCACTGTTCTATAAATAACCTACCGTTCTATAAATAGACTATATTTCTAAAAATAAACTATCTGTCTATTACCAGACTTACTGTTTCTTCCAGTAGTTCTTGAGAACCACCAGGACGATCACCAGCACAAGCAGCAGGAACAAACTCACGCCCGCAACAATGGCTATGACAACGCCCAGTGGCACCTTCGGGGTGCTGGGCGTGTTGTTTGGCGATGGCGTAGGTAACACTTCAACGTCAACAACTGTCTCGTTGCCACCCATTGAGAAGGATAGCACTCCTGTGCACGGGTAGTGGTAATGTGGGTTATATCAATGACCTATGTAATTGAGTCTTCGTTAAGTAGTGGGTGTGTGTATGTCTGTTGTGGTTGTGCATTTATCAAGTAGTGGTATGGGGGGGGGGGGTGGGGGTGTGTATGTGCGTATGCATGATTCAGAGAAGTTGAGAATAGTCCCAGTTCTCGGTATATTAAACTATGCTACCTTGGCCTCATAGGAGGCCACGATGATACCTTCAATCTAAAACCCTAGACCCTAAAAAACCCTCATTTGCTAACCGTATTCAGGACAAATATCAACAAGACAAATGAAACGTGCTACACTTATACCTACCGAGTTCGCTGATCAACTCGGCGATAACCATCTCATTGCCCAGAATCTCCGCCAAACGTTCCTCTTGCATACTGGTCACGAACTCCACTATGACACTGTGCGAAAGGAATGGAAAGGGCCAAGACGTTGAGGTGAAGAAGCAAAATGCTAAAACCCTAAAAACGCTAAATTCTAAAAACGCCAAACCCTAAAAATGCTAAACCCTAAGGATGTTTAAATCCAAATACCAAAACGTTGAGGTGAACTGGACGATGTCACAGTGCGAAAGTGAAGGGAAAGCTTAAAATCTTGTAATTCAAATTGATGGCTATTGATGTTAGTGTTGTTTTAGGGTTTTAGGGTTTTAGAAGTTAAATACGTCAGAGGCTAGTGGTGGCAACTGGAATTCGAGTTGGTGAGACCATTGATATAAATGTCGCAAATGTGTCGCAAATGCGCCGCCGATTTGCAACAAAGTCACCCACAGGACCAACATCACATCAACGCTTGTGTCTCCAATATAACACAAAATACAATATAATACAAAAATATTACAAATATGTCGCAAATATATCGCACAAGGTAACTACCTTCCTGTTGGACCGACCTCACATCGATACTGGTATCCCACATTTAATATAAAACATTCCAAATGTGTTGTAAATGTGTCAAAAATGGTAAGTACCTTCCCGGCTTGACAGAAATCAGATCCACGCTTGTATCACTCATCTGATATTCTCGAGAAAAGATATCCTGTACATTCTCCTCAAGTTCTGATTGAGCGGCAGACGCGTTAACTGTTCATAACATCATATGTAGGACGAGGTGAGGAGCATGTTGTGATGTACGAGAAAGCAGGTAGCAAAGTATGAGAAAATAAGCCTTAAGCATGAGAAAACAAGCCTTAAGCATGAGAAAATAAGCCCTAAGCATGAGAAAATAAGCCTTAAGCATGAGGAAATAAACTTTATGAGAAAATAAGTCTCCGCTAATAACATCAAAAGTAGTAGGGGTGAAAAATAAGTTGTACTGTTTGGGGAAGAAGGTACTAACAGATGAGAAAAACAGCCTCAAGCATAAGAAAACAATGCGGAGGCTTCATGCCAGTCATCTGTTTTACACACACACACACACACACACACACACACAC